GGGGGGGGGTGACAGGCAATAATAGCGCAAACTCGGCGGATCTTTCCAACTTCTGGTGCTGGAAGACCGCGGAAGCTTGAGCAAGGCAGACATCTTTGTCGCCGAGCACCACTCGCTTAAATAACTCGCCCAGGCGACGAGAGAAGTAGGAAGGAGGGGGGGGGGATGAAGGCGAGGCGTTGGATGCGGACCGGATATTGCCTGCTCCTCACGCCTCTGGTCTTCCCCGTCGCCGCCGCATCGCGGCGCCCGGACGGGCTGGTGCGATACAAAGTGCGAAGCGCGACCTCTTTCATTCAGCTGTCAGGACGCGTGACACGTGGACCCGCCCGGACCCACAAAGGCCGCCCCCTGCTGACGAGATAACGTTGGCCCAAGACTGCCCCCTTTCCCTTTCCCCCCCATCCTCTTCCTTATCCCCCTTTACTTCCGGCTCATCGCTGTCCCGCTGCGCCTTCCGCCTCTCGCGCCTACTACTTTTTCCGCCCATTTTATTTCGCGCCCCTTTTTCGTGCACGCCCTTTTTGGGAAGGGCGGAAAGGCTTGCTGAACCGGACAAGGGCTGCTGGACCAGCCACACCGGCGCGCGCTGTACGTTCGGTACACCACATCATCTGCGCACCTTGTCAAGCGCTGGCACTGCGGGTGACCATTAGCAGCTGTGTCAGCCGCTATCGCCGCGGTGCAGAGCTGCGCCGTCCGTTAGGCCACCGCGGCGCCGCGTTATGCAGCGCTGGCGAAGTAAAACACGGTAACAACATTCTGAATTTGAGGAAAATCTTCTCAAAATAAGGAAAATTTCGATTTTTTTGAGGGGACTCCCTCAACGTCGGAAGAGTTTTCCTCAAACCATGAGACTGCTTCAAAGTGTTCTCTTTTTTCTCAGAATATCAGACATTGTTTTTACGTTAAGCTCAGGGGTGAAAACGTGGACAGGACTTTTGTAAACGGTTTTTTTTGGCATTGTGTGCACCAAATTCATCTTTTTGACCTGGCACTTCATGACATTTTCTGTTATGGTACCCTCTCTCAGAGAAACAACAAATGTAAATGCTTGAGCCATGGTGTCAATTACCTAAATGCCACGCTGGAAGAGAATTGTTGTTTCATGGGGCGCCGGTCATATTGTGGCCCGCCAGGTTGCTTTGACGAAGGGGTCTAAACCCCTTGTTTGACACGCCCCGGCCCTCTAATCTGGTCCCCGCTCACCCCCCTCCCCACCCCCTTCTCTCTTGGCCCGCTGCTCAGTAAATGCCCCCAAGCCCTTATATACGGGTGTCCCGTGGGCCTAATCAGGAAATTGTACCTTCCCCAAGTTGACATGCAAATCGCAGCCTCGAGTCCTCGGAGCAAGGACGCAGCGGAGAGAGAGAGAGGGGGGGAGGGGGTAACCAGTTTTAGGTAGGCGGTCTGGTCCTGGCTGCTTGCTGGGGGTACGGCGTGGGAGGGCGCACTCCGCTGTCAGCCCCGCTCCACTCACTCCGCACAGCGGTGAAACGTTTGTCAACTTGTTCACGCAAAAGCGTCCTGTAACGCATTTCATACTAGTCAAAGCAGCGGGATCTACCTATACACTTCAGACATTTTAATAAAAATTGATATTCAGCAATATGCTCTTTTTTCATTAGTACTTTCAAGTATTCACTAGGGTATATTCCGGAATATTCGCTGGTATATTAATGAAAATTCATCGGGAAAATTTTATTGTAAATTTACCTATTAATGTAATTCATCCATATTCGCTTGTATTCAATATTGTGTACATCCACTGCTGTGCACAACTTGGGATCAGTTGCTTGCGCCACCTCGCCTTCGCCTCTAGAAGCGCAGTGCCTCCCGCTTGTTCGCTTGTTTTGAAAATAACTGCACTTGTCAGCAGAGAACTCTGTCTCTTTCTCTCTCCTGTCGAACTTCTCGCTCCCGTGTTCGGGTCACGCACCACATTGTTGTTTTCGCCTCTCGGAACTTGCGCCGTCCTACCACTACCACCTCTCGCTCCAGCGAGGGGTTGGAAAGAGGGGGGGGGGGTGACGGAGGCCTTTTACTCTTGACCCCACCCCGCGCCCCTTTTCTCTTCCCTTCAAAGTGCTCTAGCTGGCGTCGAAACCATCACCTCAAACAACTGCGCCACTGTGAGGTCCGGCGAGCGGAAAATAGACGACGGCGGAGAGGGGGCCCGGCCGTAGCGAAGTTGGCCTCTCACAGTCCTGGTTTGTCCTGCTGCCCGGTCCGTCCGGCGGAGCCGTGGCCGGCTGGCTGACCGGCTTTGCACAGCGGGCACACTGTAAAAAAAATCCATCTTAATTTTAATAACACATGTTTTGAAGCAGTTTACAAAACAAATTTGCTCTTAAATTTAAGAACAAAAAGTTTCTTAAAATTCAAAACATGTTTTGAAAATTAAGAACGTGTTATGAAACGCCAAAAATGCTTTTCTTTTCCAACCTAACGCAAATCTGGAAAATATTGAGTTCATTCCCCTAGGGGCAGATGTTTACACCCAACTTCCCACATATGAAAGATGTTTACCTTACCTTACCTGGGTGGTTTCGAACCTCGGACCTTTGGGTTCGGATCCTGACGCCTTAGACCGCGTGGCTGTCGGG